TTGTAAACTTGTAGTTAAAATCAATTGTAGCATCAATGTTTCCCTTGCACACCTTTATGCCTTCAAAGGAAATATTAGTTATTTTCTTCCACAAGGTTGCATCAATAACAATATTTAGCCCTTTCACCCATTTTTGCACCTTCAAACTTTAGATTTGTACAATATTTGATAAGATTTGGATAAACTTTCCTAGACAACTCGAAGAAGGTTAGAAGACCTTGAAACTTGAGAATCTATCCCTCTTTTTAAGTTACTTAAACATTAGTGCCAATGAAACTTTGAGTGATTTTTTGCTAATGTGTGTAAGGAACTTATTAATATCACTACTACAAATAAAGCTTTCAATGTCGGTTGTTGTATCAGGCGGTCGTAACTTTCAACGTCGGTTCTAATAAACCGACGTTGAAAGTATGATTCTTTAAATTAATAATTTTTATTTATTTACAACCCCTTTACCCCCTTTTATTTATCTAGAAGTCTCCTCTCTCTTTATATTATATTTTTTAGAAGTTTTTTAATTTTTTAAGAGAATTGTCATTGGCAGAATTCGAACCCAAGTACTTTATAGTTGGAGGTCGATACTCCAACCACTAAACTACTTGAATTTTCCGATAATAACTTACAAATAAATTATATTTATATACAAATAAATATATATCCGTGTAAATATATAAATACAAATATATTTATATATTTTTATATATTTATATAGTTATATATTTATATGTTGGATGTGAGGGCACACTCGAAAGTGAAAGTGTGTGTCGAGTGGGTTTTCAAAATTTGATGCTAAATTTGTGAGCAGGTATCTTTATATGAGTTTGTAATTTAATGACAGAATATAATCTTTATAATTTTATTTATATAATGATATAAAATAAATTTAGGAAACGCGTTATTTGCTCTCAAGCGAAAAATACCAATTTTCGCTCAAGCGAGACTTGAGTGAGTGAATTTCCGTGAGCTTTAACATATTTTCACTCAAGCAAGAGTCAATCACACTTTCACCCTTGATCGAAAAATACCAATATAATTTATTTGTAAGTTATTATCAAAAAATTATAGTAGTTTAGTGGTTGGGATATTAACTTTCAACCCTAAAATACTGAGTTCAAATGCTATCGATGACAATTCATTAACTTAAGAGAATTTTTGGTTGAAAAAAAAATAAAAATACTTTCTAGAAAATATATACAAATAAATATATATTTACATGGATATATATTTATTTGTATATAAATATAATTTATTTGTAAGTTATTATCAAAAAATTCTAGTAGTTTAGTGGTTGGAGTATCGACTTCCAACTTTAAAGTACTGGGGGTTCGAATCTTACTGATGACAATTTTCAAATTTAAGTGAGTTTTTGGCTGAAAAAAAAATAAAAAAAAAAGACTTTCCACGTCGGTTGTTCCCTGAACCGACGTGGAAAGTGTCAATAAGTAAAAAATAACCGACGTGGAAAGTACTTTCTACGTCGCCTATAGACGTAAATGACGATGTAGAAAGTATATTTTGTAGTAGTGTATTATCCTCTTCATCATCAAATTGCACATCCATGACTATGCTCTTAAAAATGGAAAAGGTGGAGTGCTTGGTGGTTAGGATGATTGGGTAGGGCTTTTAGGTTACCTTCCACCAAACCTAAAATATTTCATCCTCTTCTTGATTGGTTGGATGAAGAAGCCATTATAAACTCGTGAAAATAAAAATAGAGGAATGTGGGAAAATAGGCTAAATACACCCACACTCAAGAACAACGAAGACAAGCACATGCAAAAATGAAAATAAAAAGTAAATTGGTGTGAACAACCAATAAAAATATAATACATAATGATTGAAATTCTATATAATAAAATGGGTGTGAATAGATAAGTGAGTAGGTGAAGTAATTTAAACTTTGAAAAAGGATAGAATGATTTGTTCTTAAATATTTTCAAGAAATGTTCATGAATATTTGCTTTATTATGAAGATATTCTATTTAATTCACATTAATTTGTTGATAGATAATGTAGTGTTATTATTTGGATAGGTAAAAAAAAACTAATCTCATTCTATTATCCTCTTTATCTTCACCCCAAGTTTAAAGCATTACATATGACCAACTACTAACTGTCAAGTCACTATTACATATGCGAGAAATTAAAAGAAAAATCTATAAATAGACATTTAAATCACCATAAAAAGGGAACACACATTAAATGATATGTGCAATTATCAAACAATTTGGTTTGATACAACATAATTTCATATAATTTTCAAAAACATATTTAAGATTTAGTGTCTTTAGATAATTTCATACAATTTTCAAAAACTTGTAACACCAAATCTTAACAATACATAAATTAAGATTCATGTCAACACATAACCAAATTGAAATATGCCATTATCAAAGTTTAAAATAATAAATTAGTTTAAATACAAGAGTCTTTGAAAACAAATCAAAATATTAGAAATATCCAAGATGATAAGTTCATTTAATCTATCTCTTGCTAGATGTGAGTGAAAAATATTAGTTTTATGTATCAGTTTTTTGAACATGATATAAATGTGAAATGATGTCTACTCTCTCTGTACATTTTATTTTTAATGTTGAATTGAAATTTTAGCTACATTGATAACACTAGCGTTATTACATCTAAGAGAAATTCTGTCTAATAGCAATCCATAGTCTACATTTGTTATTTAAATCATATTAATACAACAACCTCCAACTACTATAGTAAATTGAATATATATATAAATGTGACAATAGTTATGGAAAACAAGTTTGACAACAAGTTTTTTATTCAACAAATTTTAATTATAAAATGTTTTAACAATTTATAAAAACAAAAATATCAAAAATCAAAGAAAACCAAATATCATAACATTTAGTTTATTTAATTTGAATTTTATATTAAATCAAACTTAAACCCAACCAAACCACCTCTAATTCTGATGTTCAGTTTGAGAAACTTTTTAATAAAAAGAATTAAATTATAAACAGAATCGCATATATTTTTAGAATTTCAGGTTAAATCATTAGATAAGGCTTATAAATGATTTTGTTATTGTCATTTGTCAAAGCACATATAGATTCTTTGGCTTCTCGGATTCAAAGTTGTAAATCAATAATGTTGAGATTTTAAAAAAATCTATTAAAATTTTTCAATGCAAAAGTTGTTGGAGATAAAAATATTAATTACCACCAATTTAATTTCTTGCTGATGAGCAAATATTATAACATAAAAAACTGAAAACTCTTTCTTTTGAATGGTTCTATTTGGGTTTAGAGTTCAGGTTCAGGATTATTATTTATTTTTACACTTAACTTCTAAAGACATGATAATCTTTTTTTTTTTTTTTCAAAACTAGCAAGTTAACTTATGTAAAAAAAAAAAAAAAAACAATTAGGAGATGTACGTACCCTGTGTTTGGTTCTGACTCGCAAATCTTAGGGTTTCAACGACAAAAAGATCATAAGTTATATTTCTACCTTCTAGGATACGCGTGTTCGAACATTTTTGTATGCACGTACAAACATGAGAGTAATAGTATATCTTAACAGAAATTAAACGTGTTTATGATCTTAAAATTACAATATTAGATTTAATAATTTATAAGCTCTTATACATACACCAACTTTTTGTTAGACTGTTTATATATAAAATTCTATGTTTTAATCCTTGTATGGATGAGTTTTTTTTTATCTTTTAATTTATGTTATTAATTTTCTAAGGTAATGAAAGCATAACAATTAAAACAATAAAAAAAAAAAGGAAAGGAAATCTACGTACAAACTAAAAAAATAGTTCTTTTAACCAAAAGATTAACCATACTTTCAAAGTATTAAACATCGTTTCAGCAAATCTGTGCATGCATAAAATGAAGAAATAACAGTTCATAAGAATGATAATGGAAAGCATGAAAACAGCAATTTTTGTACATATAACAGGACTTAAAAAGGAATATATATATATATATATTATCATACTCAATTATTATAATATATTTTCCAAATTTTGCTTTATATATATAAAGGATCAAATGATAATATGTAGTTTACTATCATATATTCAACAATTTAAATTAGAAATTTTTTTTTTTCAAAACATACCATTAAAGTGAAAATTCCTTATCACTGAAATCATTATAATTAAAAAATTATATCATTCTGAATTTTTAAATTGTATCTTAAAATATACACAAATTTAAAATATTTGATTATTTTATCTCATTCTCATTTGTTTTTTCTATAATTAGACACACTTAATCAATATAATATGTAATTACAATTCAGCAGTCATTTTAGAAAAAGATACAATAGATGTAATTTAGTATCATTTGATTTTTCTATGTATAATTGTTTTAACTTATTTTTGAATTGTTCATTTTGTTTGTTATTCAACTTCTAGAAAGAAATAAACGTTTTATTTGAGAATCACAAAAAGTTATTGCCATGAACTTTTGTTAAAGACTAGGCTACTACTATCACCTTTTATATTCGTGGAAAATAGTGCTGTCAACAATTTTGAAAATTAAGCACGAAGGTTTACGCGTGTCGAATATACATAGATGTTACCAAATTTTCTTTCACTGTTACTGAAGATTCAGCTCCTTAAGACATGTTTTATCAGTGAAAGTAGTTAGTTCCTTAGATTTTTACATCCATTACCCTCCTCAATTCACAAAATCAGAGTGATAATCCTTCAACTATAGCTTGTATTCCAACAGTATATAATAACCACCAATGAAAGGAATAAAGGATTTCACCTGTATATATTTTCAGCAGTACTCACAGCTGAATTTACATAAACTAATTAATATTCAAATTTAAGAAAAAAAAAATACAAAGAAAGAAGAAGATTGTCTAAGAAGAGTTTAAGCAAAGCTAGATGATACTTCTATGGACAATAATTTTATTTTTGTATCAAAAGGGGAACCAAGTACTACAACAGTTCCCATTGATGACTGGCAGAAGAAAACTACATGTGCCAGTGGTCGTGTAAAAGAAGTTTCAAAATGGAGTGTATATTTGCATCTGACTCAAAATGTGTTCAAAGTTATCTGTTGTCTTCTCAATTGGGTGAGTGTGCACTCCCTCATAAGTAGTCACCACTACCCCTTCGTCTTTGGTTAGTCGTTGGACTTGCTTCTTCACATTGCACCCTTGATGCGTGCACCGATAGTAGCTCCTACACATTAGATTAACTGGTTCATGTATTGCACTACACATTCATATAGCTGCTACCTAATTAACATGTAGAAGAATGAGATATTTTTAATGGTAATTCATTGGATCATGTATCATTTGCATAGTTACATGTTCAACACTTGTTTTGACATCAAATAACCAACAGGGTCGTCTTTATTACATATAATACCTTGAAATATGTAATGGCATCATTCAGTTACAGTGTTTAATGTAAGAAAAGCAAGCAATGAAAACAATTCGCACTTCACACAAGTTATTATAATGTTGAAGAAAAATCAGATATGCTGCTATGACACAAGATCGTGTCTCCATATTCTACATATGTAGTTTATGGGTTTCTTGATGATTTCAAACAGTTTAACTGGATTATTTTTACAAAAAAGACAATGGTTTCCAGAAGGGTTAAAGAAACCTAACATATATGGTAAACTCAGTTATCTCGTATATATGAACCCGTCATTATTTCTTTAATATTGTTATATTTACTTTTGTTCTTCATTTTATATACAAAAGAATTTACAAGCATAATCTATGAACACAATTTCTCTCTCAATTTTCTGGTTGTATAATAATTTATATATATAGTATATACACTTGCGTGCACGCAGGTGTGCATATACTGGTTTCGTTCTTGTTCTATTCAGTTTCTCTTTTAATTTGACCGAAAATAAGACAAGCTAGAGAAAATGGTATAAGAAAGAAAGAGAACAACAAAAGAAGATGAAGGAAACAAATACTTTAACTTCTTTAGAAACACCGATCCTAAACAAACAATTCCAACAGAAAGATTGAACCAAAACTGCTAGCTCAATAGTGTTTTCGATCGGTGAATGCCTAGTGTGAACTCAACAATAACTTCGTTTATTTCTATTCTTCTTAATTCAAAATTCAAACCGATAAGAAACATGGTGGGGTCTTGTCATGTTAGTACAATTACACATGTATTTCCCAAGTCAAACATAGCAGGCGCCACTGCTACAAGGAGAACATAACAAACGAAGAACAAGAAGAAGAAGAAGCAAAAGAGATAGAAATTAAGCAAAACCAAACAAGAGAAGAAACAACAGCAGCAACAAATTGAAATGAACAAAGTTGAAACTAACCTTGGAAACTTGTTGTTTTTAACAGCTTTTTGGCCATACTTCCTCCATCGATAACCATCATCGAGAATATCAACCTGGCTCCTCGTTTGGAAAGCATATCTAGGCTTTCTAACCTTTTTCTCCACTTTCTTTTTGTTGTTATTATTACTATTTCCCAAACCACCTAATTCATCACTCACATTAATGCCACCACTGATCTGAGACATTAACATGGCAGCATCTCTACCACTTTCTCCTCTCTTTTCATGATCACTACTACTACTCTCGTTACTAGGCCTTAGACCAAGAAATGCATTGGAGCTTTGACCACCAAAACCATGCTGAGAGCTTCCCACACCACTCGTTGAAATGGGGTAACTGGAAGAATTGGGACAAGGGAACAACATGGAATAATTCTCCATCGAAACCAACCCAACCCAATTTTCCTTGTCACTGTATATATTGGTAGAGAGAGAGAGAAAAAGAAGGTGTAGGTAGTGAGGGAAGAGGGTTTGGGGAAAGAAAAGTGGGTGTGGTAAAAAGATTTGAAGAAATATAAATGGTTGGGGCGGCGCTTAATGGTAACGTGGCTAATATAATGGATACATACATGCACCCACCCGAATGTGGTCATCGATGAAAGAGAAAAGAAAGTCCAAAGGGTATATAAATTTATATATGCATGATATATATGTGTGTATATATATATATATATATGCATGATAACATGCATAGATTGAGAGAGGTAGTGGCCATGGTGTCGTAAACGGCACGAAAATTCTCCAAGTGTGTGTCGTGAAAATTGAGTTTTATTTATTATGAGGAGAGTAGATTAATTGGAATAAGATGAGGGAGAAGTCTAAGGTGGAATTGTGAGGCGGCTCCATCATTAGGATAAAGACATCACAGTATTATTGTTTCTTCTATATTTCCGAATATCTAGATTATCCTTTGAAAATTCATTAAATCAAATCACTTATACCATTTACTGTTTCTAGATTATAAAATCCGTGATTTTCTCTGTCATTTTAGTCTCAACATCCTAAAGAATATTGTAAATTTTTCAATTTTGTGTAAATTTATTTCTTATATTTATTTATTTAAATAAATAATTTTTGGATTTTAGTATGTTGGGTCTGTAGTATAATTGAACCAAAATAAAAATATTCGAAAAAATTAAGTATTTAACAAAAAAATTATATTTTTAAATTGTGGAGACTAAAATAGTAGAGAAAAAAAACACAACCACAAATAAAAATTAAAAGAGAACCAAACTTGTAATTTAATCAAAAACTAAAAAAAAACATCAAATTAATTTATATAGAATGATAATATAGAAAGAAAAATCATACAGTATCACTTTTAATATATATTTTTTGTAAAATTTTATTATAAACTTACCATACACATAACTGCTAATTCAACAAGATGGTAAACCTAAATATTTTCTCAAAAATATTACTTTACGTTAACTTGAAAGTTTTTTTGTCTCATCATTTTTATGAAGAATTTATAAAAACTTGTGTATATAAAATATAAAATAAATAAATAACTTATAATATGAATTTAATTTTCAAATAGTAACACTTATAAGAAAACATGCGATTTCAATTCATATAAGAGGATGACAGTGTGTGCGGAGTGGGGTGTTACAAATAGCAAGACAAGAATTAAAAAAAATTAAGATTTCAAACCTCTGACGGCAATTGGTCATGGTTTGTGAAAGTAGTGGTTTTTGTTTTGTTGGTGGTAGCCATGGCCAAGACTAGAAGCAGTTCTATTGGGACTTAAAAATAAATATCTGGGTTGTGGTCACAGTTCACACGTGTTCAAGACAAGTAATTTAATGCAATAATTCAAGGTTTTGGTCAGCGAGAGAGAATGGGTGGGTGCAATATTGTTTTGAACATTGCAACTTCCTTGAAATCACTACCTCCTTGAGGAAAAACTATTCCAAGGTTTCAGAATCTTGGCTCCGTTAGTTCCTCTAAATTTAACTCAGGTGATTTAGGTAGATCAACATTTAAAGAAAGATCAATATTTAGTTCTTGCATTAGATAAAGATTACAGGTCTAGAAGCATCAAAGACCAATATTTTACTTTGAAATTTGTTCTTGCAGGAAGATAGAATGTCTTTCAAGACGGTGTTTTTAAGGTGGAATTTCTAATTTGTAAGTTAAGAGCAACTCACACCCGAAAGTCAGTAAAAGAAATGAGTGGAGATGTCTTTACAAATATGTTTTCTTAAGGGAGGGACTCTTCACAAGAATTTAATCGAGATCTCTCCAGGAATTATTTATGATTTAAGTGAATTATTTTAGATCGAGTAACTTATTGATATTTAGGTGGAGAAATAATGTACGGTTTTTTTATATCAGTATTTTTTGTTGTATAAAATAATAATAAAAAATAATAAATAAATTATTCAACTAATATAGTATAACTAATCGTGTCAAATTTTCGTAATGACATAATTATAGGAATGTATTTTTTTTATTATATGTTATTCTTTCTAAAATAATAAATAAAAAATAAAGAAAAAAATAAAAAATAAATTAATGTAGAATAATAAAAATAAAAATAAAATTATCATATATCGACTATAATTAAAATTAAATGGAAATAGAATTTAAATAACTAAAATTTATAAAATTAAAATAAAATATAATAATAAAAAATTGCTTTGAAATAGAATAGTACACTAATTGAAATTAAATTGATGTAAAATTTAAACAATTAAAATTTATAAAATTAAAATAAAATATTTTTAATTAAAAGTGCAAGAATCAATAATTATTTTAAAATAAAACAGTAATTAAACCTAAATTTTTTTAAAATGATAACTCTAAAATTAAATTAAGAATTGGAATTGGAAAAAGATGAATTAAAACGGACAATTAAGCAATACTGAAATAAAAAATTTAAATAATTAAATAACATAAATTAAAACGAGCACAAATGAATAAAGTAAATAGAACAATATAAATTAAAAAATTCAATAAAAATTACAAATTAAATAAAAAAGAACAAATCAGAAGTACGAGTAACAATAAATGAGTTCGTCTAACTAAAAAATGGGGACAAGATAAAACAACAGTTCTCACATCGGGGCTAAAAGATTATGATTGTGTTATTGTAAGATATCTATTTATAGGGGATTAAACAATAGAAATTAAGCCTAAAATTATTTATAATAAAATCAAATATTTCTCAAAAAAATAATTACAAAATTGGATTGTTGTGTAGAGAAATTTTTTAGACTAATTTGGAGAAAATAATTTGCTTTTTTCCTATTTTGAGTGATATAGTACTTGATTTGCATTTAATTTTTTATTTCTACTTGCCTTTAATTCGAGTTAAATTGGATTTCTGCACCAATTAATTTGCTTGATTCAAAATTTCCATTTGTAACATTTTACAATTGAGTTACACAAATAAACTTGGACTTTCAAGAATAATAAAGTTTGACGACATTAATTTAAACATTTCTTTGTATCAATTTGGCCTATATCAAATTATGAAAATATGAGAAAATATAAAATATTTTTACTTAATATATTTAATAGTTTGATTTAATATATATTAAGAAAAAAATATTAGTTTTTCAAATATAAAAATAAATATATTTAATAATTATCAAGTTAACTACTAAAATTATAAATATAAATATATATATATATATATATATATATATATATATATATATATATAAATTTAAAGATTGAGCCGTGAATCTTTTCATCTTCGAATAAATTTTATTATTTGCTTGATTATAATCTTTATATATTTATATATTTATTAATAATAATAATAATATAATAATAATAATATTGTTATTATTATTATTTAAATTTTTAGACATAACTTTTTTTATTAGACTAGTTATATATAAATAGTTAAAGGGCTAGTTTCTTATTTTATTGTCCTTTAAATGTTTACTAAAATATTTAAAATTTATAAAAAATTAAGTAAAGATGACAAAAAGGTTAGGTCTAACAGGAAGAGTCGATAGTTTTAGTCTATTAATTTATTTTAGTTTGTTCCACTTAACTTGTTAATTTGGCGGATAAAACATTGGATAACATCAACTAACTTATTTAAAAATAAAATTATATATTAAAATTAAAATAAAAATATTATAATTAAAATTATTATATATTTTATGTTTTGTTATTAAAATATATAAATATATTATAATTTTATAATTTAAATTATAAAAATTATCAATTAAATTTAAATTATTAATTATAATTAATTATTTTAACTAATAAATATAATAAAAATTTTAACTAATTTAATAAAAATATTAATTAAGAAATAAAAAATTAATAATTATTTATATAATTAAATATATTTTAAAAATATATAAAAATAATTATTAAAATGTATTAACCTATCCTTTATTTTATTTTTTAAAATAAATTAGGGTTTATAATCTATTTAATCAGAACGGATTAATCTAACCTACTCCATTTTTAATCTATCAGAAGTATAACAAGTAAAATAAAATACCCGTTTTGCCATCGTGAAGATTGAGTTAGAAGAAGAGCAATTTAACCGGTGTTAGCCGTCAAGTAGCTTTTCATTTGCTTCTTTATAGGCATGCCTAATCCAGCAACGTGACTCTTGGAATAAAGAATCAAATTTATTAAACTGTGGTGAGACTAGTTTGTTTGACACAAGGGAATGTAACCATAGATCAAGTCATTTCATTTATTGTTTAGCTTTCCTTATTACCATTTCATAAACAATTTTCTTTTAATGATTTGTACCCTTTCTTAAACGTTCTTACAAATTGCTTTTGTGAAAATATCATTTTCTAATTTTTATTTTTTATATTTATCTCTATTTTATTATTGAAATATAAATTAAATTTGTTTTTATTTATATATATATAAGAAAAAAATTATTATTTTAATTTTATCTTTTCTGAAGAATTCACTATAACCAGAAATTGAACTTAGCAACAACTTTTCTTCAAATAAAATGAACAGTTATGATAAAAAATTTCCACTTGAAATAATGGGTTTTAATAAAAAATCTCTCTCAAAATAAAAGGTATAATAAAAATAATATGAACATGTTTAAGATATCTTATTTTGTAGCATCCCTCCCGAATCCTAAACCTAGAATTCATAACTATAAATCTAAATCCAAATTTTAAACCCTAAATTAGTGAAATTTTAGTTCTCAATTTTAGGTTCTAAGGTTTAGATTCTGTTATCATGTTTTGTTGTTTGAATTTTAGGTTCAAAGTTATGAGTTCTAATTTATCGGTTCATAGTTCCAAGTTATATGTGTAGGTTACCAGGTTTAAGATTTTCGATTTTGAATATAGAATTCTAATTTCTAAGTAATGAGTTATAGGTTGATAGTTCATGATATTGAGGTGAAGATTTAGGATTTT